TCCGAGGGCAATCTGAAAAGCGGTGAGGCAACCAATGATCCAGTATTTGCAGATAAAATTAAGGCTTCTCAGCAACATCTCGATGGAAGGTCAGTAGCATGCCGATAGATATCAGGAATATTACTTAACTAGCCATTGAGGATCACAATGGGCAGGAGTATGAGCCCAGCAAGGCAGTCTCCAGGCTCTGGTCCACATATCTTACACTCTCTAAAATGATTTCTCTGTGGGCTGATGAGATGGCTCAGTCATCAAAGTGCTTCTGACACAAGCATGAGGACCTGCGTTTGATCCCCAGAGCCCATATAAAAAGATCTGGGCATGGTGGCCAGTGCTGAGGAGGTAGAGACATTTGGATCCTGCTCTGAGACTCACTGGCCAGTCAGTATAGCTTACTAGGTTAGTTCCAGGTCAGTGAGAGGCTTTGACTTAAAACCTAAGAAATACCATGTCCTGGAATGATGTCTGAGGTTATGTACAGCTTCCATAAGCATACATGCACAAACACATGCCTGCATTCATACCTCCACATAAATAAAGGCATATACATGTGTGTGGTTTCCCACATGTGTGTCCACATAGATATATATGCATGTACATAAATGTGCACACATACAAGTGTACGGGTACACCCATACGTCCTTCCATCCTTTGGAATCACCATCACCCACTCATCTCCTGAGATACAGTTGCAGGGAAATCTCAGAATCATTTGCTATCTAAGAGGCACCTCGTCTTCTCCCCACTCCTCTGCAGAGCAGTATTGTGGAAAGCACTAGACAACATTATGATACACCTGTTCACTGATATTGCTCCATCTCCCATATAGGGGTGATGACTTACGTGTCTTCATGCCCCTGTGCCACATGCCTGACACACAGGCCATGTGTGTTAAAGGATCTTTGTTTCCTGGTCTTTTGTTTTCCTCTAGAACTTTGTCTTTCACCTCTGAACACCTTTTACTGCCTTGGAAAGAGACAGAGTTTCAGGAATGAGATGCTGGCCTCTCCATTTTTTCATATCCCGAAGGGCAGTTAGTGTCTAACCATGCAGAAGATATCTAGGTTTCCTTTGTTTAGAACTTGTGCATAAACATGAATGTAATTACTTCCTCATTTGGTAGGTAAATGGGAAAACGAAGTTTGTTTTCCAGAAAACTCTGATTAACATGTACTTGGAAGAGACATCTCTACTGCCACCAGCCAGGCTTCCTGGAAGAACTCACCACCCCAAACTTGAGAGAGAACTGAGTACAAAACACATTAAGAGTGAGTACACAATGGGGTTGGAGAGGTGGCTCAGTCAACAAAGCATCTGTCAAACTACAAAGATCTGAATTTGATTCCCTGAACCCATTAAAAAAAAAAAAAGTGCCTGATGTGAAGATGTGCACTCATAATCCTAGCCCTGGGGAGGAGAAGATGGTGGATCCATGGGACTTGCCAGCTAGGCAGTCTAGCCTACTTGGTGAGTTCCAAGCCAGTCAAAAAATAAGATTGGCCGCATCCTGAGAAATGATACCTAAGGCTTTTGTTTGGCTTCCATGTGTGCTTACACACGCAAACACACAGAGCCCAAGATTTAAAGAGAGTTGTGGAAAGGCTTGAAGTCCGGGATGGAGGGCTAAGTGATACCTTCATCACCTTAAGAAGCCTTTGGTCCAAGCTGTGTCTTTGGATACACAGGGAACCCCAACGTGGCAGAAGCTGACTTACATAATAGATAGCAGGGGTTTTCACACTTCAAAAGTGACATAGGTTGAAGGGAGATAATTGCTTAATTCTCAGTTTCATGAAAACCCAGACTTCCAGCTAGTTAAATATGGGCCAGTGTTTCTCTTTACTGGACCCCAGGTCTGATTTTCTTGCTACACATGTCTACCGTTTTCTTAATTGACTTGGAAAATAATCTTCCTTAAATTAAGTTACTGGTATCATTTGTGTTGGAGTAGGGGCCCTGGGGAGATACTAGCTCAATCAGTACAATGTTCACTATGTAGCCTAAGAAGCTGGCACTTCATCTAGAGCAGTCATGTAAGAAGCTGGGTGAAGTGGCATGCATTGCAATTCCAGAACTTCAGAGGCAAAGACAGACCTATCCTTGGGGTTTGATGGCCAGCTACCCTAAAGCATTCCAAAACAGTGAGTGGTTTGTGAGGACAGTGCCTGAGTTACAACATCTGAGGCTATCTTCTGGCTTCTGCATCTATGATCACACACACACACACACACACACACACACACACACACACACACACACAATTCAAGACTATCAAAGGTTTACTAAAAATTGTGAAATTGACCCAAAGATTGTATCCATTGGGAAAGGAGCAGGAAAAAGGTTGTGTTGAGAGTACAAACCTACTAGGCATGGGCATTTTTTCCCCTACCACCACCCCCTTTTGTGGCTTTAGAGTACAGCTATAAAAATTTCCCCTCAAGCAAGGAAATTAGTAAGTCATCTTCTACAAGAATGGTGATGTGTACTTTTTGGTCTACTGGTCATTGCTCATAAAGATAGCCTGCTGTATACCATCTAAAAAAAAATAAAAGAACACTGCAGGGGGACCATAGACATGGCTAAACAAATAAGATGCTTGCATGCAAATATGTGGATCTCATCTGGATCCCCAGTATCCATACAAAACACTGGATGTGATAGAGGTCGCCTGTAACCAGACTGCTCATGGGATGAGCAATGGCAGAACATAGAGGCTTGAACTGTTGTGAGCCACAGGTTCAAGGAGAGATCCTATCTCCAGAGATAACACTGGCAGCTACAGAGGAGGACACCTGATGTTGCATGACCTCTGGTCTCTGTATCGGCACACATGCATCACCTTCCCCCCTGCCCCACATACATACACAAAAGCAAGGGGAAGGATGTCTTACCTCATGTGGCCAGAGTTTCATCCGTGAGGGCAGGCAGCCTTAGTTTCATGGGGGCAGCTATCAAGACTGTTCCCTTGCTAGTCTCAACAACAAAACAGGAGTGGCTCCTTCGCCATCCCACGATGAGCTAAACTATCTAATTAATCTGTGAGTGAATTATGGTTCAAGAAACATACTACTTTATAATAAATTTTAAGTGAGTCCCTAACTGAAGAAGATGAAGAAAAAGCTGTAAGATTATGAGGGGAAGGTACATCCTGTTCTCTGTGACTGATGATTTTAAGAGGGGGAGGGGGATAATTTTACAATCCATCAAGTTTTTTGTCATCTCAAAATCATGCCTCCCAATGCATGCTGTAAATTAATTTTAGAATTTACATATTTATTAAAAATTGTATTGAACACAGCAGGAAGTGAGTCCTATTTGAATAATAAAATAACTTGTTATTCTATTGGAGATTAAAAATAAAAAAATGTAAAATATTTTATCTTCAGGTAATAACCACATAAATTGCTCTCTGAGTTAGTTAAACTGATAATTAACATGCGCCAGAGGCTTTGACAGAATATTAAAGATAATCCCCAAAATCTCCATGGGTGGGGGGAGATTAAAAGAATTCTCACAATAAGGACCAGGGGAAAGATAAGCAAGGAGAGTCAGATCACACTTGGCCAGGGTACACACTGCAAGCAGGGTCACATCACTTTGGGACAGGTGCATCGTGAATTCCCTAAGGCTTGACTCTTGGAAGAATCACTTGCTTTCATTTAAAAATGTCCTTTTTAAGAAGACTCTTAGCCTGTTCTCTCTGCTGGTTTAGCTGACTTCCCAAAGGATGCCACACCCCACATCTCCCCACTAGCTGGGCCCCAATCTGGGACGACCCTGGGATAGGACAATCACTAGAAGGGCGTGAGTTTGTAATCACAGGGTGATGTCATACTTCACATGGCCAGGCATAACCACTCTTCCAAATGCAGTGTCAAGTGACAGGTCTGTCTCTGGTGGAACATCTGGAACATCTGGGGAATAGTGAGGGGGCAAAGGACTGGCGTGTTGACTCATATCCTCCTTAGTGTAATGGAGAAAGAAATAACCAAAGGCTGAGATGGTTTAGTCAGCACAGAACTTGTCTGGCAAGCCTGAGGACCTGACTTGGATCCTCAGAACCCTGTAAAAGCTGGGCACAGTGACAAGTGCTTCAATTCTCAGTGAAGGAGAGGTGGGGACAGGCAGATCCCTGGGGCTCACTGACTAGCCAGTAGTGCCTCAGAGGAAATAGGCAAGGTTGTCTTGGCCTCCACAAGCACATGCATACATGTGGCCTACATAAGCACTGGCACACACACTTGTAGTCCTGTCCAACAAACAACCCTTCCTACATAAACAAACAAACAAACAACCCTTTGGGAAGAAATGTTACTAGAAATCCATCTCTGTAGAGATCCATTCCACATGAGAGAGCCAACCCCTGACTGACACTATTAATGATACTCTGCTAGGCTTGCAGACAGGGGCCAAGCATTACAGTCTCCTGAGAGGCTTCATCCAGCAGTGGATGGAAACAGAGGCAAAGACCCACAGACAAACATCAGCAGAGCTCGGAGTCTTGTAGAAGAGTGGGGAATAGGGTTGAGTGTGCTGGACGGGTCAAGGACACCACAAGAAGACCTACAGAGTCAATTAACCTGGACTCACAGAGGCCCACAGAAACCGAACCGCCAACCAAAGAGCACGCAGGGGCTGTATCTAGGCCATCTACATAGTAGTAGCAGACGTGCAGCTTGGTCTTCATGTGGATCCCCTAACAGTTGGAGCAGGGTCTATCTCTGACTGTTGCCTGCCATCAGATCCCCCTCCCATAACTGGACTGCCTCGGTGTGACTCAGTGAGAGAGGACGTACTCAGTCCTTCTGCAACTTGATGTCCCAGGGTAGGGTGGTACCCAAGGGAGGCTTGGAGAAGGAGAAGGAGAGGAGGCAATGGGGGGAAGGATTTATATGGGTAGGACTGAGAGCAGAGGAGGTGGGGTCTGTGATTAGGATGTAAAGTGAATAAATAAACACATTAATGAAAACAACCCTAGGGGACAAGAAGGAGAAAAATACCTGTTTTCCGGGAATTTCAGCTTAATCATGGCTCTTTCTTTCCACAGGGGATTCAGGGTGAGGTGTTACCACCACCTTTAAGAAAACAAGAGATTCCCTTCATGATGTTCCCAAGGTGAGGGGCTTGGCTGTCACTGCCTCCCTGTGTAGACCCCAGAGCTAATACCTGGCAAGGATGTGACCCTTCCCCTTCTCATGTCATAGCTAGCACAGGATGCATACGGAGAGAGCCTCAGAATCCTTAACATAGCAAATTAGGCAACCAATATCGAAGAATTGTTTTGACATAGAGATGAAAGCTATCTAGCCCCTGAGATCTTGTGTGTGTGTGTGTGTGTGTGTGTGTGTGTGTGTGTGTGTGCAGATATCACAGATATTTACATGTTACTGTGTGCAGCTAATGGGAGATATGCATGCCCACGTTTCATACATGGAAACTTGCAGTTGCCTGTTATTTCTCTCAGACCTCTAGTCACTTTCCTTTTTGCAGGCTTTCTCCATCATCCTAGCTATATTTCCTGTGTTCTCTCTGACCTGGGGATTTTCTGTCAATCAGAGTCAATGGTACAAGTCTGGGCATCAGGAAGAGAGGAGAAGCAAGCACTTCCTGCCTTTGTCCTACACTGAACCTGACAGCTCTGCATCTTTCCCTCTTGCTGTCAGTCCTAGGGACCATTTCTGGTGGGTGAGTGGTCCAGCCTTTGGCCCCTCACGACAGCTCTGCGTGTTTCCCACTTGCCACCAGTAGCTGTGAATTCCCATTTCTGCTAATCTCCACTGTCTCCCACTCGGCACCTCCGAAGAAACTAAACCTTCTATTAAATCCCATTAGCTAAAAGACCTGAAGTAGTTCTGTTTGCACCCTAGACTCTGGCTAATAACAGCAGAAAGTTCTCTGTGTTCTGCTTTCAAAACACACACCATCTAGGGCTGGTGGGATTTCCAGCCAGTAAGGGACCTTGCTGTCAGCCTGACTATTTGAGCTTGTTTCCCAGGACACGCATGGTAGAAAGAGAGAACAGACACCCACAAGTTGTTCTCTCACCCACACATGACATGGTCATGAATGCATGCACACACGCACACACACAAACGCACAGACACACCACACACACACACACACACACTTAAGAAAGGAAGTATTAAAAATACTTTAAAAACCCATCATCTAAACAGAGTCACTCTCCAACACCTCTTTTCTGCTCCTATCTTTTCTCCTTAGTGGCCTCACTGCTTCCTAGTTGTGGTCCCATGTTCATTTCCTAGAAGCCTGTTCTCCACACAGAAGTCACTATATTCCTTGGAAACTAAATCACTGGTCCAAATGTCTCCCACCGTTTCCCTTGCCAAGACTGGAACCTTGAGATTTTCTGCTCCCAATAAGGTCTTACACACTGGCTCTCGAATTCTCCATCCTGGCTTCCAGCCTTTCTATTAATGTACTCTGTCCACACTGGCCTGGGACATACTGAGCATCTGCTGGACCTGCTGTACTCTGCCTAAAAGCTCTAGCATATATCACATGTTAACACTTCATTCAATTTTTTATTCAAGCATTCACTCTCCACAGAGACCTCACCTAATCAGTCTCTGGAGGCAGTGGACTCATTATTGCATATGTACCCATTTTTACCCCGTTAAAACTTGTATATTATTGGGTTGCCTAGATGCATCAGTGATTAGGAGTTCTTGCCACCAGGCCTGATGACATGAATTCAATCCCTGGAAACACACAAGTTAGAAAGAGAAACCAACTACAGGAAATTGTTCTCTGGTCTCCACATGTACATTGTGGTGTACACACATACACACACACACACACACAAACACACACACACCATAATAAATGCTTTAAATGTATACATTATTAGTTGAACTGCTGTAGCTGTTAGCCTGCTGCAAATGCTGTAGCTGTTAGCCTGTGTTGTTTCGAGAATAATTATGACTTAAGAATGTTTGCACATGTTCTGTGCACTTCGGTTTTCAAATATTTCATTGAGGCTTGGTTGAATCCTTGGCTGTGGGGCTTGTAAATATGGAGGCTTACAGCAGTCCATCTTATTTCCTTCTTAGCTAAAATAAGGCAAGGACTTAGTCCTTTATTTTTTTTTTAAATTTGTTCTATCTACTATGCCCAGAATGACACCTATTAAACAGCATGAAACACATAAATAGTCTTGAATCAATGAATCATAAATGAGAAACTTATAGCACACTGTGAAGTACAAGTAGTGCTGGGAAATAATTAGCTGTGGTGTTAGAATAAAAGCAAACATGTAAACATCGTTCTAATTAAGTCACTACACGGTTTGAGATGGGAACCAGGGAGTCGCTGGCTAGTTCTGTTGTAAGCGAAGTGAGCAAAGCCCATCCACAGCCTCCCGTTCACCTCCCTGCATTGTCACCGGCTCCACTGCTGCCTTTGGGTCACCATTCCTTGTACCTATGGTATAACTGGGAAATACCCTGGTGAGGGTCTAGAATCACCCAAGAGGCAAGCCTTTAGGGATGCTCTTGGTTACCTTCAGTGGCATGAGAAGGCCCATCTAGACTGAGGGCAGGGCCATTCCCTGGGCTGTAGATAATAGAACAAGAAGTGCTTGGAAGCATTCACACATCTTCCTGAGCCTCCTGGTTGTGGATAGGGTGTGAGCAACTGCTCCGAGCTCCTGTTGCCATGATTTCTCTATCACAGTGAGCTTTACCTGTGAGGTGAAGAAGCCTCTGTCTCTCAAGCTGCTTTTGTTAGTGTTTCATATCGTAACCTCAGAAAAGGAACTGAAATGCAGACTTTGAACTCTGCATGTGACAAAGGGACCCAATGACTTGCAGAGAGAGCCCTTTGGTTTGCTTGTTTTGATTATGCAAGTTAGAAAAAATGTCTTTGAGCTATCCAGGGTTCTCCAACTGCTTCTTCTGCTACAAACTACAGCTACCTGCAGTTACTTGTTTAAGGCGCATGCTATACCAGGTTCCCAAGACTGGTCCCAAGCAGGTCCAAGCTGATCTCTCTCCTTGCTGAAGTCGAAGGCTTTGTAATACTTCTATCCTATTGTCTTCTGCTTTTAGCTTTGGGTGATTGTGTAGATTGAACTAAGCCCCATGCCCCCAACAAAGAAGCACTTCAACCCCTCACACCTGGACTGGGTATAATCAATACACTGAACCCATGAGGACTAGGGAGATGGCTCAGTTGATAAAGTGCTTGCTAGGTAAGCATTAGGACTCAGGTTCAGATCTCCAGCATTTGTGTAGAAAGATTGTACTTGGTGACCCGATAGTTGCTGTTAGATTAGGGTAGAATTGTTTCTTTGCTTTGTCAGTGCCCTCCTGTTTAGGCTGAGCGGATGTTTACTCACATATCCTGGTGGGGGGGAGAGAATCACACACTATTCATGTTAAAATACCAATGTGTGGTGATAGGTGCTTATAATTCGAGACCTGAGGATGAAGAGAGAAAGATCCAGGTCCAAGTCCTAAACATGACTGAGCCAAGCAAAATTCCAGCCTGGATGTCCCACCCTGAGCTGAGCAGCTATTGGCAGGTGTCAGCTGTTGGGGGAGAGAGGTTCATTTTTCTCTGCAGGTATGGTTATCAGTAGGTTACTGGTGCTCCAGGGGATGACCCTAGCCATATACAAGCAACAATAACTGACTCAAGTGAGATGTCAGAAAGAAAAAGGAAGACGTAAAGTTGGGGGAGGGGTGTATTAGGGAGATCCCAGGAGCTTTGGCGAGGAAATATGCAGTGGATATGATCATAATAGGTTGTATATATGTATGAAATTCTCCAAGAGTAATTTAAAAATAAACCCAAAATTTAGAAGAAATCCCCAAATGTATAGTACCCAAGGAATGATGCCCATGGTAACTCCTTAGCCTCAATATCCATGTGTACACATGTACCTGTACACCTAAATATATGCACATATACTCATGGCATATACACATAGGCACACACATGTAGACACACATATACTCATGGATGTATATACACACAAGCACACACATATGTATACACACACACACATACATACATGCACACACATATACACACAAAGACAGATCACAGCAGACTAGTGTGGGTCCTCAGTGCAACATAAATTAGGTCATTGGAGGAAATGGACAGAACAAAAACCCTGGGGGTATATGGGAAATGCTACAATGAGACTCGCACACAGAGTGACTGCCATGTGCATCAGTGGCATGCAGAGATGGCAGAGTCTGTAGTCATCTAGAATGCCAAGGTCTGAAGCTAGGAGAGAAGCCCTGCCCCACTGATGCTCTGCTTTCCAACTCCCAGCCTCCAGAAACGGGAACAACTCCTTTATTTCACTTGAGTTTTCTAGTGTCGGGAAGTTCAGTATAACCTCCCCTAGGAAACAGCACAGCTTGTCCATAAGATATGTATTGTCTGTAACAGCAGTGACCTTGCAACACTCAAATCCCATAACTATAAACTTATGAGGAGTTTAGTATTTTAAGTGATGCAAAAGAAGAAAGAACAAACTTCTAGAATTTTTTTTCCCACGGAAGCTTTTTTTTTTTTTTTTTTTTGTTTATTGAACTTAAAAACAGGATTCCCGAAGATGAAAAAAAAAGCACTTTGGTTGAACTGTCATTTGAAATTATGATTTCATTAATTCTGTAAAATGAAAAAGTACTTCATTTGAAAAGGAAAAGTAATCAGAAAGAAAGGAAGTTATATTTAGTCGATCAGAAAACAGCTGGGTTCAGTGTTGTGGCACGGGAAGGTTTGCCAATGTCTGGCCCGCAGGCTCCTTTAGGTCAGCTCCAGAGAGTGACAGAGAGGCTCTAACAGTAATATTTTCCTACAAATCTGCACTTCATCCAAGACTCATTTTTAAGACTTTAGTCTCCAAGATTTCTTTTCTTTAAACGTAAATGCTGATTGAAGTACTTAGTAAGAAGTGGAAAATCCTGGATTTGGGCCCAGGATTCTAATCCATCTAGAATTTCTCCCCACAACATGCCAAGGGAATACACCTGGTATGCTGTAGATATAAATGGTTGAACGTCCTGCTCTTGGTCAGAAAGGATTCCTAAACAAGAACAC